ACCAGAGGAAGTGCATCATCAAATGAACGGTGAGGATGTGCTCATTACAAAGGATCGCAATCATGCAACACGCTTTTGACGGTAAATTACAATCATCGAGACGCTAGAGATGGCGCAATAAGAATACCATAGACCAGACAGTAGACGAAGTAGAGAAAAAGAGAAACTACGTAGTGTAGAAACGAAAATGTTAACAAAGCAAAAACTGAAAATGCTAAAACGAGCAACAAAGTATTTTGGGGAAGAAAAAGGGGAAACAGACTATAATAGAATGTGATGGAAATCTAAATATATAAAATAATGAAAAGTTGATTAGAAAATTAAACAACTCAAAAACACTACTTAGATATACACAAAACAACGCTGCAAGATTTTTATATGTATATTTGAGATTTTGAGATTTGAAGTTGCACTAAACCTTTTTCGCAATATCTTTTCTAAGTTTTAAAATTTTTGGAGACATTTGTGACAATTTGAAAGTTTTAAGTGAATTTTAAATTTTATATTTAACATCAAACAAAATATATTTTTCTTTGAGGAGATTCAATATCTTACTATAAAGTCAGTACAATTTCATTATTGCGGTTTTGTCCCTTACACTTACAATTCTTAGATTCAATAATATTCAGTATTACACTTCTGTTCCACAAGTTCAATTTGATTTCGTGACGACAAAAAAAAAACTTTTGTAATCAGTTCTTAAGATATCTACATATGTATATCAGATTCATTTTTTTTCAAGTGAAACTCTATTTACTTATTTTTTATTTTACAGTTCCGTACCACAGTTTCGATTTGATTTAATAAGAGACAGAAAAAGAACTCATATAAACAGATCTAATAATATCTGTGTCAAATAAATTTATTTTTCGAGTGAATTTTTCTTTCAACTCTCTATTTTAATCAAGTGCGTAGTTCTTTTTTACAAAATTCAAACCAAATATAGTTTTGTTTTCCTTATCAAATATTATTTGACAAACTGAAAACTGATTCATTATTTTCGTTCAGCTTTATTAGCTCAGTGTTGATTATTTCAATTTCACAAGTACAACCCGCTTTACACGTTAAATACCATTTTAAACGTTCAATATTGTTTCACATGTTGAATTCTGATTCACAAGTGCAATGCTGTTTTGCGAGTTCAATACTTTTTCACAAGTTCAATATTTTTTCACAAGTTCAATTTTGAATGAGAAGCTCAATACTGTTTCTGAAGTTCAACCCTATTTCACAAGCCCAATGCTGTTTCGCGAGTTCAATACTGTTTCACATGTTCAATTTGGATTGGCAAGCTCAATACAAATTCAAACGTTCCTCGCTGTCTCATAAGTTCAATATTATTTCGTACGGTCAATACCGTTGCACAAGTTCAATTGTTAATTTTAATTGACAATAAAAATACTCCTTTAAAAGTTATATACTGTTTCACAAGTTCAATTTTTATTGGCAATTTCAGTTCTTCTTCAAAAGTTAGTTACTGTTTCACAAATTCAGTTCTCTTGACAAATTCAATTTGGTTTCATAAATAAGATTCCAATATAATTTTTCAGATCTGTAGTAATGTAGATTTAGAAAACCGATTACGTTATTTTCTAATACAAATATACTTATGTAGATGAAGTAAATTCCTCTTAAAACATTTTTTTTATCTTTTTAAAGAACCGCATTATTTTGTTCACTCTGTATAATATATGTCGCCCTTATTTCTCTCTTTCAGTTTTGTAGCTACAGTTAACACAGTGATATATTTTGAAAGCGATGCCAATTTAAATTTTTTTCCGAAAGCAGAGATGTTTCTTGCTTATAAGAAAATTTACAAATCTACATGTAAATAACGAATTAATTAAAGTAACTTCCAATAGCAGCATTTGAAGTGCGTAAACTCTAGTTGAATTGGTAACCGAACAGACACAAAAAAGTGTACCCGGTAAAAAATGTTGCACAACACTGTACTTTTGCCATAAAAAAGTCAAGAATATTTTCCGTTTGTGTCTAGAAACTATTTAATGCCAATAATTTATTTTGAATGTTTTATTGAACTCTTTGTGTACATAAAAAATTAGTGAATAATAAAAATAGCTAATTTAAAAATGAATTATTAATATAATATAAAAAAATTAAAAATAAAAATTTTTAAATTATAAAATTAGAATTAATAAATGGGAAAATAAAAATAAAAGTGAAAAAGTGAACTATAAAATTTTAAAATTAGAAAACTTTGCTGTTTGATAAAAATTAAAGCAGAACTATAACAAAATAGTAATAAAACATTAAAAATAAATCTAAATGAGAAACTGAAAGAGTGAAATTAAGCACTAAAGTATATATAATATATTAAACATTATTACGCTCAGAAATTAATACAATGTAATTGTAATTAAAGTAATTGTAATGTATTGCAAAGAAAAGTATGGTTAAGTTTCCAAACTTCCACAAATATAAAATGTAATAAATCAAAATGTGCGAGCTGAATGTGCGTGGTGTAACAGTAAATTGTTTAAATTATGAATGTAAAATGCATTCGTAATAAAATTGAGAAAAACAGCGAAGGAAAATGCAGAAATTGAATTACTGAATTGTTAATAATTGACTATTAATTAGCTTTAAGCTTAAAACGCACACACACATACATATATATATACATACTTACAGTTGTATATAGTGACATATGCACACAGACCCAGATACACATTTATGTAAAAAGATTCTTATATAAATAAATATATATATATATCTATATATATATATATAATAGTTACTAAAGCATATGTTCAAAAATCATTTGTGTAAATTGCATTTAAAAATTATTTATTGTTGTTGAAAAAATTAAAAGTAAAGCTAGTACAATAAATAAATTACTAGATGTCAGCGTTTAATCACGCAGAAAATTGCATTTAAATTGGTTTTTATGTAAAATTTACTCTAACTATTTTTTGTAAAATAAATTTAAGATAGTAATCTATTGTATAAATTATGTACCCCTAGTAGAATGAAAAAAAACATTACAAAAAAAACTAAATAATAGATTTAATAAAACAAAGTACTAATTAAAATTAAAAAATTAATATAAAAATTACAAAAAAGGAAATTAATATGAAATAACACAAATATATTAATATAATAAACTGAAAAAAAATATTAAGAAAATAATTTTAAAACTAAAAATTAAAAATAAAAATAATAATAATAAAAGTTAAAAAAAAATAATAATTATTAAAATTAAAATAAATAATTACAAAAAAATATTTATATAATTCAAAAACATATAAAAACTATTAAGACAGGTTAATATAACAATAATGATAATATAATAGTTAAAAAAATTATAAAAAAATTAAATCATGAATTTTAACAAATTACTATAAAAAGTTTAAAAAAGACATTTATATAAATATATATAAAAATATTAATATAATAAATAGAAAATACTAAAAAATTACAATAAATAATAATTATAAAAATAAAATAATAAAACATCGAAACTTAAATTAAAAAATAATAATATAAAATATAAGAAAAAAATTAATTAGAAAACTAAAAAATTAATGTAAAAATTTTAAAACAAAATTAAATTAAAACAACATAATAATATAAAATATAAGAAAAAAATAATTTAAAAAAAAAATGAATTATATAACTAATAATAATAATATAAAAATAATAATAAAAAATTAAAATACTATAAAGAATACAACATAAAAGAAAATATAATGATTAAAAAAATGAAGTCATGACTACTAAAAAATTAATACCAAAATTTAAATAAAAATAAATATATTAATATAATAAATATAAAATAATAAAAAATAAAGGAAAAGTGAGGAAAGGTAGTCGGTAAGCGAAAGCTGAAATAAAAAAACCAAAACATTAAAAAAAATGAAAATATTAAGAATAAAAAAATAAATTTAAAATAAATTTACAACTTAAGCTAAACTAAAAAACTTCAAAAACTTCTGAAAAAACGCAGAAACTA